CGAGTTGGCGGTTCGGTTCGGCAGGTCCGCGTTTCGCGGTTCCTAAACCGGCATTGCGCTTCCAGCGGTTCCCGTGGAATCGGTACCATTTCGCGGTTCCAGTTCGGCTCGTTACCTTTCATGTAATTACAAGCCACAAAAAGGAACTACGGAGCCTATACGTAGGGTATGTTTTTTTCCCCGCCCCCCCCGCCGCCCCTTGGGCAGCGGGGAAGTCAGACACCCCAACGCCCCAAAGGTAGGTGCTTGGTTTTGGGGTCGGTTTAGGGCTGTGTTTAGGGGTTTCAAAGTTCAGGGCTTTAGGGTTTAGAGTTTAGGGCTTTATGGTTTAATAGTTTGGGGCTTTGGGGTTTAGAAGTTTAGGATTTAAAAGTTCAGGGTGTAGGGGTTTAGAAGTTTAGGGCTTTAGGGTTTGGAGTGTACTGGTTTAGGGTCCCAAGCCCCAAGTTACCCAAGTTCGAAGCCCCAGATCCGATCCCAAAGCCCTCAAGGCCAAGACGCAAACCCGGTGGTCCTGAAGCCCTTCGTGAAAAGATTCGTTTCGGGGTTTAGGGTTAGGGCTTAGGGTTTTTTCGCACCCCCCCAAAGTTTATTCTCATTCTTGGGGGGGCCAAGTTTTCATTTGATGTAAGGCAGCTCCCGAGCAGACCGTTATCGAAGTGCTGGACGATGGGCAGCAGCGAAGCAGCAAGGGTTTTGATAATTTTGATATACGGCCTTGAAGGCTCGAAGGCAATGGAGTTTTTAAGGCAGCAGTGGTTTAATCAAGTCGGAGTCTATATACACGGCAATGCTGGCAATGGTGCAATAGGTCTATCCGGGGCAATGGTCTGCTAGAATTGATGAACAGGCCTTATACCTAGAGGAGGGCTTGTGGGCATATTCTACTGTAGTTATACAGGGGCTATCAGCGGCTACCATTGCTCCTTCTTACGACCTTCATTAAGGAGCAGGGATCAGTTGTTCAGGCTTTTTGGGATAGAATTTGTCCTTACCGCTAGCCTTGGCTTTTCGTCATCCTGGCATTGCTGCAGGATTGCTGAGTTGGCGTTTGTGCGTGTTTATGCCAACCAGCATTGGATACAGGAGATGCCGCGCTTTGTCACAACTCTTCCTTCGTCGTTGAGTATATGCTACCGCCCAGGCCGTAGGTTAGATGCAGATGTTATGCTTGCACCGTCTTTTTGTCAGCAGCCCGACATCGTCACCCCAAGCCTTAAGGCCTGTAAGCTTGAGCTCTACAAGCCCCTTAAGTTCTATGCAGTCTATTCAGTTGATCTTCCTCATTGCTTCCAATGGTACAGAATGTTCTATGCATACGCATAGGCTCCATAGTAGTTCCTTTTTGTGGATTGTATTTAGGATCCTATACGGTAATCCCCAAAAGGAACTGCTATGGAGCCGATGGCTACGTACCTACCTACCTACCTACCTACCTACCTACCTACCGACCTACCTACGTACCTACCTACCTACCTACCTACCTACCTGCCTGCCTACCTACCTACCTACCTACCTACCTCCCTACATACAAATTCCGACGCTTAGGTCTCCGGCCGAGCCGGCGCCGGGATCGCCACCCGATGTGGTGCCGCCTGAGGTCGAGGCGGTCGCTCAAAGAAGCGTGTATAGGGATCTAAAAGTTTAAGGCTTGAGGTTTGGCGCCTGGTGTTTCATTGTATGGATATTTATGGGCGTAGGCTGTTGTTTGTTTCTTTGTTTGTGTGTGTCTGTGTGTTGGTTTGGGGGGGGTCGCAGCATAAGGGCTTTTTGCTTCTGGGGTTAATGTTCCGGGCTTTAGGGCGTAGCGGCTTCAGGGCTTAGGGTGTCAAAGCGTTTGTTTTTTGGTGTTTGGAGGACCAGGGTTCAGGGTTTGTTCTAGGCTGTAGTGCTGTCAGGGTGCAGGGTTTAGGGTTTAGGGGTTTAGGGTTGAGGGTTTAGGGTTCAGCCCCATATGTCAGGTGGGGGGGACTCAGAGCCTAGATTTCTGCCTCTTTCAGCAGGGTGGCCTTTGTCTTACAGGCTTCCAGGTGGTGGTTATGACGGTTATGGGTATAGTCCGCTCTCCGGCATATTCCAGTCATCATCAGTATCATCTCACTGCCATTGTCCTTTGCAATATCGCCTTGTCACAAAGACAATCGCGGTAGCAAAAGCACTTAGCACGTGCAATAATTCTGCTGACTCTTCAGACAATGACCGGGCGGCACGAGCAATTAACCCATCACAGCAGTGCCATCTCTGCCTTAAGGGACAATAGGAGGGACCCCAAAAAGGGACCCCTAATCCTACTACCCTATATAACCCTTATATACCCCTTACACAGTCTCATAAAGCCCCTACATAACCCCAAAGGTCCCTTTAAGGGTCTCTCCTTCAGTCCCTAGACTGCCACCACTCGAAAACTGAGCCCCCCGAGGAGCCCCGGCCCCAGGAAACTGAAGCCCTACCTAGACCCCAAAGAACCTACCTGTTTAAGGACCTATGTAAGGAAATCATCAAAAGGAACCCTACTAAGGGAGGCCCCAAGGCCTAAGGGTCCACGTAAATCCTGATTTTTTTTGAGCTCCAAGCACTGGGGCCAAGCCGAAAGCAACCGGTGCTTTGGGATCGTCTAATCGGGAGGAGTGGGTTTGGAGTTTAGGTTCGGCGGCTTTAAGCCCTAACACCTAAACCGTTTAGGGTGCAGAGATTCTGTTGTCGGGTTTAGGACAGGGTAGCCAAAAGAACATGCACTGCAAGTGATGGTCTAGCTAACCTCATGGCTGCGGTAGAGGAGCAAGGGTTGAACGACTTGCCGGCAACATGGCTCTACGCTTGCTGGCGGACAGCAACCACTATGTTACTCAACAAGACGTGTACAACCTGCTGTTGCTCAGCCACCACGTTCGTCGGAAGGATTGGGCCCAGCGGGTTCTGCCCTTTCTGGGATGGCGCCTTTCGAGAGCAAGCGCCGTGGGCGCAAGTAGTTCCGCAACATGTGCCATCAGTCAAGCTGGACAGCTCGTCTGCTTCGGCGAAAATGAAGATGATTTGCCACCAGACCTGGGCCCGGTGGTGGCCGTGGCTGCGGGAGCATATCACACCTGTGCCGTGAAGACGAGTGGCGAGCTGGTTTGCTTCGGAGCGAATTACAATGGTCAGTGCATTGTGCCTGCCGACCTCGGTCCGGTCGTGGCTGTGGCTGCCGGAAATTATCACACCTGTGCCGTGAAGGCGAGTGGCGAGCTGGTTTGCTTCGGAAGCACTGGCAATGGTCGGTGCGATGTGCCTCGCGACCTCGGTGCGGTGGTGGCCGTGGCTGCGGGATATAGTCACACCTGTGCCGTGAAGGCGAGTGGCGAGCTGGTTTGCTTCGGAGGCAATCGCTATGGTCAGTGCGATGTGCCTGCCGACCTCGGTCTGGTGGTGGCCGCGGCTGCCGGATATGTGCACACCTGTGCCGTGAAGACGAGTGGCGAGCTGGTTTGCTTCGGAGACAATGATTGTGGCCAGTGCGATGTGCCTCCCGACCTCGGTCCGGTGGTGGCCGTGGCTGCGGGATATAGTCACACCTGTGCCGTGAAGGCGAGTGGCGAGCTGGTTTGCTTCGGAGGCAATGAGTATGGGCATCGCGAAGTGCCTCGCGATCTCGGTCCGGTGGTGGCCGTGGCTGCCGGAGTTCATCACACCTGTGCCGTGAAGGCGAACGGCGAGCTGGCTTGTTTCGGACGCAATGACTCTGGTGAGTGCCATGTGCCGCCAGGCTTCAAGGTTCGGCTTGCCGCACAGTCCATCGGCACACCCACACCCGATCCAACGAAGGAGGTGCTGCAGCACGTAGACGTGTGAAGCTTACATCGGTTGGTATCTTTCTGCGGCCTACATCAATCATGTTGGCGAGCGCGATGTGCCTCGCGACCTCGGTCCGGTGGTGGCCGTGGCTGCCAGATACCAACACACCTGTGCCGTGAAGGCGAGTGGCGAGCTGGTTTGCTTCGGAAGCAATTGCCATGATCAGTGCCACGTGCCACCAGGCTTCAAGGTTCGGCTTGCCCCACACACCGGCCGACCATCCATCTCCGATCCAATGCAGGAGGTGCTGCAGCCGGTGCATCACAGCGAGCCTGCTGCCGATAATTTCACAAGAGCAGATCGCAGCTATCGTGGCGGAGCAGGAGGGATCTTGCGCAAGCCCTGAAACTACAACACCAAGAAGCCTTATAGCGCCCGAAAGAATGAACAGTCGCTGCAGCCATACCCTAACCCTAGCTTCCACACCCCAAAGCCCCAAAGCCCCGAACCATGGAAGCCTACTGTTCATCCTTGGGGCTTCCTTGTTACCGTTTTAGAGTTGAGGGCTCAGGGTTTCGGGTTTA